ATTTCGACGGAAGAGGATCTGGCTGAAATTCTCCCGGGGGAGTGGTGTGTTCTTCAAAGGGGTCACTGAGGGGTGTACTGGAGTGTCGGGGCCTCCATGACGCCACCTGGTCTGTGATGCTCTGCGCACTCTTCTTCAATCCCAAAGAAGCTTCCTCCCCACCAGGCCCTTTTCTGACCATGGAGAAGACCCTTTCCTTTTCTCTGCCCCCTGACTGGGGAGGGAACATAGAAAGGCCACGGGGATCAAGCTCTCCCCAGACTGCCTGTCCCACCAAAGCTGTAACAGAACTTACCGGCTTGGAAGTAAAAAAGTAGGACTGTCACACACAAAACATTCCCGTGTCGCATGCCAGGCACCTGTTCTGCTCAGCTTCAAGCAAGGCAAAGACTTGGTGCCTGCAACTGGTGGCCCCCACTGGCCCCCTCTTGGGTGAGACCTCACAATTAGGTGGCTCAATCTGCATAATATGCAAATTGCTTACTGGTGGGGGGGGGGTTAAGCTTCCCTTCTCCTCCCCAAAATTTGTTTCTGGGAGTTTTAGCTTTGGAAGGTTCGAATGCATTTCACAGGCCAGCGTTTTCAAGGACTCAACCTCTCACCTTTGCCGATCCTTTGGGAAGGACGTGGCCACGTGACACTGCCCCCCTCTCAGGTCTTCAGCCTCGGAAGGGGGATTTTCCCTCTTCTCCTGATACAAAACTTCCCAGGGGGAGAACTCGGGTGCCTCAGGGCTGGCTGGTTGCATTCAGCAGTTAAGGTGCGGGACTCACCTTGCTTGTTGCGTGGCTGGAAAAGGCCTTTGGGGAGATGACTGGAAAACAATTGGGGGTTACAATTGGGGGTACTGATCAAGGTGTTAGATTTCTACTGCTTGCAATTGCAAGGCTTTCTGTGGTTTGCAGTAATTACAAGCCACATGAACATTTAAATCTATTTTTGTTTCTTTAAACAATCTGTATGGATGCTCATCTCATAGCAATGTGTAGAAATCAATGTTTCTCGACCTTGTCAGTTTTAAGATGGTTGGACCTGAACTCCCAGAATTCCCTAGCCAGCATGGCTGGCTGGGGGATTCTGGGAGTTCAACTCCACCCATCTTAATGTTGCTGAGGTTGAGAAACACTGGTACAAATAAACCGCGCCCGCCCCCATGGAAGGAGAATGTATGTGTGTGTGTGTATAAAAGTTCTAAAACCATAAACTGAAAACATCATAAACCCCGATTAAACTGGGTGGCCTATCACTCCACTTAGACCCTCTGGAATAACTCTGTTTTTGGGAGTTTCTAGAGGTCGGGACCACGAGGTTGACTAAATTTGAAGGGGAGGCTGTTCCCTCAAATCCGAGAAACGGCACCCGCAACCCTCACGGAAATGGGGCTCCACACCTTCGCTCAGGGTGCACGTTGGGCAGGTCCGCTCTGAGTGGAGCAGGTGGTTCTTCACCTACTTTGCTGCCAAGCCATGCGTGTCTTTCTAGGGCACGACCAGCCCTTGGAATTGCATGGGGAAGCTAACAGGCAGCCAGTGCAGGGCCCTGAGCACAGGGGTAATGTGCTTAGGGTGACCAGCTTGGGCCAAGAGTTGGTTGATGCCTCCTGGACTCATGAAAGCTTCCACATCCTCTTCAGGGGCGGCCCCACGTAGGACACAAAGCAGTAGTCCAAACATGAGGACCCTCACTCTTCCTGGGTCTGGGCCACCCCATCAAGAGCCAATCCAGGAGCATCCTGTGAACAAGCAACAGCTCCAACTTGCGGGGACTGAACCTCAGTCGACTCGGCCCCGTCCAGACCCTGACAGCCTCCCGACGCTGGGACGAGGCGATGTTAGTTTCCCCTTCACGATGCATGTAAAAAGCAGCCAGAGCTTGAATGCACCATCCCGGCTGCCGTCTTGACTCTTCTTCTTCTTCTTTTAATCAATTATTCTCATTTTTCATAATGCACAAATGGAGAAAACAAAAGGAAAAGAAATACAAAGATTAAAAGAGTTAAAGAGTTAAAGAGATACAATAATAAAAACATACACAAACATTTAACAAAACGACTTCCTTTGCAAGAAAAAACTTCTCATACAAAAAACTTCTCATACAACCTTCTGTAAGTTTATAATAAGACTTCTACTTGTCCCAGTATTCTGCTGTTGTAACGAACCATCAAACCCAAATGTCGCTGTTCGCCTCTGTTCGATTTCACACCTTGACTCTTTGGACTCTGTCCGGCTGCCCAGCCTCCGTGCAGTCAAGTTGGGGTGAGGTCCCGCCGGGTGGCCACCCGACTGCCGCTGGTCTTCGTTCTCGCTGACCTACGCGGAGAAGGAAAAGACGCTCAAGCAGTTGTCTGGATGAGCCCCAAGCTGAGTAGTGCTGAGATGGTCACAGTGGCTTTACATATTATGTTAATACGTCTGCAATTGTGAGGTCTCCCCCAGAAGGGGCTCAGTGGGAGCCCCCGAGCACAAAACCGGACTGGCGGGACAGTCTTGGACAAGGTTTGCTTAGATTTAGTTTAATTGGCAGCAAGCACTGGACCTACAGGAAGAGGGGAAGGGAGTACAGGGAGTCCTCGTTTAGCAACCACAATTAGGAACAGCCATTTGGTCATTAAGCAAAGCGGTCACTAAGTGAAACTGCAACTCTGTTTATGATCCGAATTCAGCTTTCCTTTGCTTTACAGACCTACGAAGAACATAATTGCAAGTATGGGCCGGAAAGTTACTTTTTCATCACCGTCATAACTGTGAACAGTCACTGGATGAGGTGGTTGCTAAATAAGTAGATTATCCTCTAGTGAGCCATTACAAGTTCATGTGAATTTTCCGCTGACTCTACTCCTCTGAATTTGAAAGGAACAAAGAAAACCAAGAATAGCTGGAGTGCGAAAGAGCTTTGAAATCAGTCTGCTCAGTACAATATTCCATACATTTCTCTGGAGTTGGCTGATGTGGGTCTTCCGGGCTGTTTGGCTGTGTTCTGGAAGTTTTGGTTCCTAATGTTTCACCAGCATCTGTGACCGGTATCTTCAGAGGATAGGAGCAGTTCTTTCTGCACCCAGGATGATGTGACCCTTTGTGGGTATTTATAGAGATCAGCGAGGGTGCCTGCGGGGGTGGGTGGGTGGTGGTTTGTGGGTTAACAAGTGGCTGCTTGTTTTAGTGATCAGCGTATGTGTGTATCTTCCTGGGGGTTAGGCAGGGTTTTTTCTATCGAGTTGTTAACGAGTGGCTGCTGAGGGTGATTAGCATGTTCATTGTGTGAATTGTTCACAAGTCCTGGTGGTTGAGCTGAGTTCGTTGACCTTTTGCAGGCTGTATTTTTCAGGAGTGGTAGCCAGGTTTTGTTGATTTTTAGAAGTCTAAAAAAGAAGTCTGGAAACAAAAC